CTTCCGATTAGCAACATTAATTTTTCTCTTCTAGCCAGTGGAGGTGATTCTAATCTACGCTAGATTAGATCAGTCTATTTTCTTGGATTTGAGAATTCATACGTAAATGTTTCTCCTTCTCTCTGCACACACAAACACACACACACTTTCTAAATATATAGATATAGGTTATATAAATATATATTTATGTATTTAACACTGGGTCTTGATCAAATAAAACATAAGATAGTGAGAATCATTCCAAGTAATTAAAAAAGCATCAAAAATTTAATTGTTTTATTACCTCTTGAACCTTCTCATGTTCTTTTATCTGTTATTATTTGTCCTAGACGCTTTCCTCAAAATCTCAGACACATCTGAACTCCTCCTACCGCATTCAAACACTTTCAAATCTTATCGTTTCTCTCCTGATAGGTTTCACACATCTCCCCTGTTCTCTCTTTACCGATTGTTGCTGTTGCTGTTCAGACCTTCATGACTTTTCCAGACTCCTGGAACAGCCTCCTAACTGTATGCCATGCCTCCCCATCTTTTGACACCCGACATCTGTCGATTTGATATAGAATGTATCTGATCATATCACTTGCCTTCTCTAAAAAAATTAAATGACTTCCCATTGATTGAAGAATAGTCAACCTACTCAGGCTCTTCATAACCCAGCCAGAGCTCACATTTCAAACCTTTCTTCCCATCCTCGACCTCATTCTCAGTCTCCACCATGACTTGCTATTTTCTGAACTCATTTCGACCTTGTCATCTCTAACTCAAATGGTGTCTCTTTCCCAAAGATTCCCTTAAACTTTCTGTTTTGTGTCTGCTGTTGTACTTTGTGCTTCTGCATAGAACATAGTCTGTGCCATAATGTCTGTGACCGATGGACTTCCTTTTTAGATTGAGAGTCCCTAGAAAACTGGGACTCAATTGCTAATGATCCCATTCATTCATTAAGTTTGCATCCCTTACCTAACGCAATGGACTGAGCTCAGTGTATTTAATAAATGCACATAAGAGTGCTTCGTAAACAACAAAGTGCTATGTGAATAGTAATCATTTTATTATTATTTGTTAAACTGAGTTGAATTTACTTTTAAGAATCTCACCCTTCTCTGGGAAAATGACTTCCCATCAGTGGAAATTCTCAAATAAGTGATATGATGTCTCAAGATACTGTAGGCAGATATATCCTTGGAGGGGAAGGCAGAAGGGATCCTTGGTTTTGAAGTCTCCTTCATGGGCATGCCTCAGAGGGCCAGCCTTGTCCAATGCTCCCTTTGTATCTCTCTGTGTCTTTATTCACCTCATGCTAAAAAATCACAAACGTTACTGGAAATTTCCCCATCGGGGAAGATCTAAGAAGTGGCACTATAATAAGAAATAGTAGGCTCTGGGGAGCCGGCCCTGGGCACAGGTTCTACCAGTGCTTGCCTTACATGTGAGGCCAAGCATCTCTCTGCTGACCCTTGGACGGTAGACATGCTATGAATATTATCATGCCGGGCATTTCCTGATACAGGGATTATTTCCATCTCTAGGAATTCCACAAATGTTCTCAGAAGCCTTTGGGACATTTAAGTTTTAAAAATAAACCTTTACAACTCAACACAAGTATCCTAGAAATCCATGTGTCAGCCCTTTTCCTTGAAAATACCTGTAGGTCCTGCTATCACTTGCATGAAACAGGAAGGGGAAAGACCATAAGGTAGATCACATATTCATAAGTAAAAATGCCCTCAAAAGGTAGCCATGCAGAAACTGGCACAACCATGTTAAATATCTGCCAACTTCCTCTTTAGAGCCTTGGAAAGTTTGATTAACCCCAAGAAACAAAGAAGAGGAAGGGAAAAAAGAGGGGAAGAAAAGGAATGAAAAAGAATGGGAGGGAGGGAGGGAGGAAGAAAGGAACGAAGGATGAAAGGAGGGAAGGAAGGAAGGAGGGAGGGAGGAAGGGAAGAATAAAAGAAGAAGAAAGGGAAGAAAAGAAAATGAAAGAAAAAGAAATGAACTCCTGGAAGCTGTTACCCATCACTTGGGCAGGTATTTGTGGATCTAGTTTTTGAAGCAACAAATCAGCCAAAATCAATTATCTAGGTCAACCTCTGGAGTGTCCCTATGGAGGAAGAAATATCCCAAACGGGACTGGAGTAAGAGATTAAAAAAAAAAAAGATTTTCCCCAGTGAAAGATATTGTGGAATAGTGCCAACTCTCTCCTCTCCTGGAGCAATGCAATTGTGAAAATCCATCCTACCTGCTATACTGATGGTGGCTGCAGCCTTTGCAGTACTGAATTTCTCTCCATGCTTATTAGTAGCTATGCATGTGTAGAGTCCTGGCTTGGTGATAAACAGCTGCAGTCTTGAGTCAATTACTCGGTCTTTCACACTTTCTTGAATGGACCCAGAAGAAACCTAGTGGAGTCAGGGGGAAAAAGAAGATAGAATTAGGTCAAGGATTTCTAATATGCTCTATCAGTTGCCTGGAAAGAAAAAGGATAAGGATTACGATCAAAAGGCATGTGGTAGATTGCAAAACTTGCCAACAACTTTTCTCTCCATACGCCCATGACCTTGCAATGTGACTTTGTTGCTCTTCCCTCAAGAGGTGGCATCTTTCTCCATGCTTTGAATCTTGATTGGCTTGTGACATGTTTTGGAAAGACACAGAGACTTACAAAGTTCTTGCACATTGTGGCTTGCTTTCTTGTTGCTCTTAGACCTCCTGTGAACAAGCCAAAGCTAGCCTGCTGGAGGATGAGGCACATCTATCCCAGTTATCCTCACTGATCCAGCGGGGAGCCAATAATGTCACCCAGATATACGAGTAAGGCCATTCTAGAGCAATCAGCTCCTAGTCAACCTGCCAATCACAGGAGCTAGATCAGCAAGAGCAGGCAATCCTAGCCCAAATCAGCAAAACCATCCGGTTGACCCACAGACTTGTGAGCATTAACAAATGGTTATTGTTTTAAGCCATTAGGCTTTGGGATGTCTGTGATACAACAATAGATAACTAATGCAAAGTAGGAAAGGATATACTGTGTGGATCCTCCAAGATATGTCTCTCTGTCTTGAAGATAGAGTCAATTATGAGAGGTTATAGAGTTTTGGGCTTATTTTCTTAATTCCTGTTCAGTTCCCCATAAATGCACATCAAATAGTGAATGGTTATCAGGAGAAAATGGTTGTAAAGCCAATTCTGTTTCTGCCTCATTACTTAAATCAGAAAGTCAAATGTCCTCAAAGAGCCAGGCTATCAATGCCATATTAGCACATAATTGAGAGGTTAATTTATGTAAATGCTTATTAGCTGTCAGCATTCAACTCTGTGAGAAAGACAGCTGTCTAGCACATTCTATTGGGTTGCAGAGTTCCAATTTACACCCTAGTTTGTCTTATCCCAAAGCCTGTGCTTTTCATCATTATGCTTTAGTGCCTTCCCTAGTCCTAGAAAACAGAATAGAGTTATTAGAAAACAAGAACAGTAATAACAACCTCAAATCAACCATGAACAAAACAAATGTCTGACTTAAACGTCATTGTTAAAGTGGTGGCACTTCTTAAACTGGTGATTCTTTCTTCACTGTTTTCTTAAGCACTCTACCATCTTTTCAGTAATTATTGTTTAATTATCATTGCTAATATGAGGGGAAAATGCTCATTTGAGGGAAGTGTGAATGGAATGACAGTCAAGGAATTAGCTGGTGGTTTTACCTTAACCTTATCTTGGAGGAGTAGGGATGAGTACCATGGTGGCCTTGAAAGAGATCTTTCTGTCTAGAAGAGAATGAAAAACTTGGAGCCAGTTATTTTACTGTTTCACATGAGGGAAGATTTCAGAGTTAGACCAGCAAGGGGGAGGGAAGCCCTGAGGTGAGACCAACTTTCCATCCTTCTGCTGCCAGGTGGCTGGCTGGCCCCAGAACCCAGCACTCTCTATAGCAACTAGGCAGTGAAAGTTTGTTCACTTAGCTTCTTTGTCTTTTTATTCCTTACCTACGCTGTTAGTCTCCTTATGAGAAACACTGGTTTGTGTGAGCATCAATTTACCTTAACTGGGGAAACGTCCCAGGTCAGATCAAGTATTGTGGCATTTTCCCCAGATAAGCAGCCTGGACTCTATGAGAAATTGACAAGGCAGAGAGAAAAATATCTTTAAGAGACATACATGCAGTTGGGAATTCAAACCGAATTCATCATTATCATATTTATCAGAGGTGCAAGTTCTCATGGATTTGAGTGTCCAAGTTAGATGGAAAGGATTGAACAATTTGAAATATAATTTTTTAAAAAGTTTATTGTATAGTATAGTTGATTTACAATGTTCTGTTAGTTTCCGGTGTATAGCAAAGTGATTCAGTTATACATATACATATATTCATGCTTTTTCAGATTCTTTTCCCATATTATTACAGAATATTGATTAGAGTTCCCTGTGCTATATAGTAGGTGCTTGTTGGTGAAATACAATTTTGGACTCTCCCTGAATTTTAATACAAAGCAACAATGAGAAAAAAAGCTAAAGACCTCAAACCTCAGTCAGTCAGTTTGCCTTATGCTCTCAGGATATTTCGTTTATAAATATAATCCCTTTCCAGTTTATATATGTGAAATCCGTAGAACAATTACCTTCCTCCTTTGCAAAGTTCGTTCCCTCTTTCAAGAAGTAGGTCTGTACCATCAGTGCCTGGGAGACAACTCAGAAACGAGTAATCCCCCAAATGCTGACTAAACTCCCACAATTTTCATGTTCACACCTAGGAAAGTCACTCCTCAAGGTCACTGAAAACATTCTTGGGAGGAAAGAGAAGTGAGTTTTAAACCGCCTGACCTCTCTTCTCCTGGATGTCATCCAGGTGCTGACATAGTTCAGCGAGTAGACCAGCAAGTTCTGAGGCTCATTGCCTGATTATGATGTGATTCCTAAGAGCTTTTCCTCCTGTTTCCAGAGGCCTGGCTTGATTCAGTTTGTGACTCACGCACAGCAGGCCTTGTTAGTCATCGTTTGAATTTGTTTTTCTTTCTTCATGGAGCAGCCTGACCAACAGTTTAGTATTTTTGATGACCTAAAATTCAAAACAGCCCTTTGCCCTGCGTTTTGATGGTTTTGTTTTTCAGGTTTAAAAGCTCAAAATGATGAGTTCAGATTATTCCTGGGAGCTTTGACCAAGGTATGCTGAGGCGAAGCTGAGGACTTAATTGAGGTGACTCTATCTGGTATTACAGTAAATACGGTATTTCTCCAAGTCACCCAGGCATACTGATCTGAAAGAGCTGGATAAACAGCTCTCTGCTCTGTGTGTGGTATTGAGACAGTGACCTCAAATGAGGGCATCGAACAGGAACTCTATTAAATAGGCATATTAGTTCCCACCTGATTGAACGTATGTAAAAGCCTTCTGAGCGAGGCAATATAGGTGGAATATATCGTTACTATATTAATAATGCTGTTTGGAGAGAATCTATCCCGAGTTATGGATAATCCCACAACTTCATCATGATTTGACCTCAACATAGAGAAACCTCTGAATGGTATTCTGGCTTCTATGACCTTGTCTTGCAAATAGTCCCAGCTGGCTAGGATTGTCTCAGGGACCTTTAGGATGTGGCCCAATACGGTCCACGTTTAGGGAGTTGTAATATGTCTGTCTATGCATCATAGAAAAAGGAACAATTGAGAAAATTTCCCATGCTGTTTTTGATCAACATAGTTATGAATATTGACCTCTTTCAATCTAGCTGCTGAAATATTCAACTTAATATATTCCACTTGATATATGTAATTATCTTGGTTTACCCAGTTAGTGAGAGATGTTTCCAAAGCTCGTGTCCTTTAAACCAAAAAACTGCCTCTTAAAAATATGTATAGGGACATCCCTGGTGGTGCAGTGGTTGGAAGTCTGCCTGCCAATGCAGGGGACATAGGTTCGAGCCCTGGTCTGGGAAGATCCCACGTGCCATGGAGCAACTAAGCCCGTGTGCCACAACTACTGATCCTGCGCTCTAGAGCCCACGAGCCACAACTGTTGAGCCCTCGTGCGACAACTACTGGAGCCTGCGCACCTTGAGCCCATGCTCCGCAACAAGAGAAGCCACTGCAATGAGCAGCCTGTGTACCACAACGAAGAGTAGCCCCTGCTCGCCGCAACTAGAGAAAGCCCGTGTGCAGCAAGGAAGACCCAACGCAGCCAAAAATAAATAAACATATAAATTTTTAAAAATACGTATAATATATAGGTGAGCCTCCCTTTAAGGAAATTCAGAAACCACAATCTTCAACACAGATGATTTGGCTATTTATTTTATAAAATTCTTCTAATAAGTTAAAGTGATTCAACTTTTAACATATTTTAGGAACTATATTGATTGGACAAAGCAAGAGAGATGTGCAAATTTTCTACATTTTTTATTTGAATGCCAAAATAATAAATAGATGGGTATAACTTTAAATAAATCTGTTTATCAAAATATAAGGATATTTTCTTTTAGAAAAGTAAACTCTGCTGTAGCCACAGCAAACTATTATTTCCAACGTTGTAAAACAAAAGTGATATTACTGCTCACTCTGAGCTCATCTAAGACTACAAATTTTCATGAAAAATGAATGATATTTCCATAGGAAGAAAGCAAAAGAATTCTTGATGGCTTTGGGGTAAGTTGCTTGCTTTTCTCTTGTTCTTTGGCTGTAATCATTCAGGGTTTTAGTTTTTGGCATGTTCATGGAGGGGGAGAAAAGGAGCATTCACCTCTTTTAAAGTACTCGTTGTACTTGGTAGTGTGTTATGAAGTTAGTTGACTGGCTTATAGTTAGTGAAAAGCCACAGTTCAAATTCTGTTTTATTCTGTGTCAAATAGCTCCCAACTCTGCATTTGTCTTAATCCTGCCCACCCAGAATGATACCAGGTCTGTGGCCCTTCCCTGTTCTCCTCAATAGACTTTTCTGGTTGGCTACTTGTCCAACATTAAATGCCTGCAGTCGCCTCCAGTTCCTGTGATTTGCATCAGCACGGGGCAGTCATCTCGATTTCTATTTGGACTTGGATAGTAGCTCCAAGAACAAAACTTGGCTGTGACAAAGCGAGAGAGGGGCATGGACATATATACACTACCAAATGTAAGGTAGATAGCTAGTGGGAAGCAGCCGCATAGCACAGGGAGATCAGCTCGGTGCTTTGTGACCACCTAGAGGGGTGGGATAGGGAGGGTGGGAGGGAGGGAGACGCAAGAGGGAAGAGATAAGGGAACGTATGTATATGTATAACTGATTCACTATGTTATAAAGCAGAAACTAACACACCATTGTAAAGCAATTATACTCTAATAAAGATGTAAAAAAAAAAAAAAACTTGGTTGTAAGAATAACACTCTCTCTGACCATGAGAACTGCAGATGTCCTTTTGCTTTCTTCCTGGAAGAAAGTTACCATTCATTTATTTTATTCCTGTTTTAGAATCTCTGCCAAAGAATCCATTTTGCTTTCTGTTTTTTGTGAATCACATCTTGGAAGATGAAGTTGGAGTCTCAATAAGACCAAAACTAACTCTAACCATTGGCTTTTTTTAAATTACTCCTCAACTCCAACAGAGAATAATCATATGTGTTCTAGTTCTAAACTCAAAGGAGCTTTTTGAAAACACTTAATTTTTTAAAAGCCTGTCTTTCCATTTTCTGTATTAACTGTTTTCACAGAGTTTAAGACAAATTAATAAAGTCATATTGTCAGTTACCCAGTTTTCTTAGGGCATCTCTTTACATTACTTTAAGAGGCTTAAGGCAACTCCTACAGCTTCACAGAAAAGCCACAAAACATACTGCCAAATAAGATGTGAATTTTAAATGGCACCTAAAATTTAATTCGAGAACTAAAGAAGAACAAGACTACAAGTTACTTTACTATAACAAGTTCAAGACAGTCTAAGATTAGTAGTAGCCCCTGGTCCCTAGCAGAAACAAACAAAAATTCTCTGGAGAAAAGAACCTTTGTCTAGACCTCAAATTAATCTCTGACATTTTTTTTTCCTCAAAACAATGAACAGCAGGTAGTCAAAGATAACTAGGCACACAAGGAAACAAAACACAATGAAAGAGTCAGCAGGA